GGAGCTGCCCCAAGCTGGGGAGCGGCTGGGGCCGCGCGGAGGGCCGGGAGCCCTGGGCAGCGCTGAACCCGCGCGTGCGGCCACGGCTCCAGCGCCGGGCGCTCTCGCGGGCACGGCACGGGCCCCGAGACAGCTGTGCTTTGTGCTGCTCACGTGCCTCTCCTCGAGCTGGGAGATTTCCGCACAGGAGTTATTTTCAAAGCCTTGTCCATTCTCTTGTTTTGCCTCTTGGATGAATGAAATCAGATGCTACAAGAAAATAAATGCCTTTACTCCACAAATGTCTGAACTCCCCGAGATGGTTGCTAGAGACAAAACCTTTGTCAGAGCGCTCTGGTGTGACTGGAGCTGGGGAATCGCTTGGCTCTGGGCTCTTGTGGCCTGGGATGACTGCTCACCACTTCAGTCAATCCCCTCCTTTGGCTAAAGCTAGAAACCTGAACCGTGTCGTTGCAAGGGGGCTGCCAACCATAGCTTTTGGGCCCGAATTTTAGCGTGGGCAGCTTTGCACATGGTCCCAGATCACCGGGTGGCATCAAACCAAGCAGTGAAGGCGGAGCAGTAGGTACCAACGCGCCAGGGCAGCCCTCCAAGCAACGCAGACCGCACGCGACGCGCAACGGTGGGTTTGCTTTGGTGCTGCTCTGCGTGCCAGCCCCGCTCATGTTCGCTAGCGGAGCTCTTCATTGTAAAAGGGCCCTCCAGAGGCACTCGGCAGGCGTGATACTCATCAGCACTGGGTATCTAGAGACTACGTCAGCATCCAGGAAGAATTAAATGGATTTATTCCCTGTCATTACTGCAGGAAGAAAGGTCACCTGCATTGCGTACATAATTCATTGAAATTGTCCTGCCTGCGTGACCTGAACTCATAATGCATTGTTCCACCATCCTTCTTGCCTGAAGTCAGTGACCTTATGAAACGATTGATTCTTTCCGACTTAATTAATCCAAGCAATGAAATAGTCCAGTGGGAGACAATTGGATATTGGTTAATATTTAAGCATTGAGGCAATAGGTATGGCCCGAGTGATTTTAGACCCCTGGAAATTCTTTAGCACAAAGAAAAGGTCCAATCCATACAATTTCATTTTATTGAGAATATTTCTGGAGATCTAAAGGAAAAGGTCTAACTGAAGAAAGGCACGTGCCTATTTGTATCATCTGAACCCTAAGGGGCTCTTCCATAGACCAAGAATCATCTGAGAAAGCATTATGTCTTTAGTAACAAGATTTGATCTTCTCACATAATCTGAGCAAAAGGAACCTCAAAAAAACAAATCACAACAAAACTTTTGTGCTTATATTTAATTCTAGCCACTCTAGTTGCACTTAATTCCCTTCCTCCTCCTTATCAAAAAAGTTCACTGTCCGCTATATTTGTAAAATACTTTTAGGCAGTTGGAATTGTTTAAATATTAACAGACAAAATAATTTCAGAGTGTTGGTCATGCCAAGGACTTTTAAAAAAAATGCTCCTAAATCCAGTTCCACTCTGCTCCCCATACAAATGTGAAAGTATTTATCTGAAAGGGAATGTGCTTGTAGAGTGGATCCAAAAGCCTGGCCTTAAATCCTGACGACACCCAAATTCTGCCAATATCCACCTGGATTTCACTGGGTGTGATTCCAGCTCTGGATGCCAGCACTGGGTGGAATGTGCATCCTCTGTGCTGTGCTTTGCTGGCTGGACTAAAAGCTCAGTGCAAACACAGCAGCCACGGGGTGAGTGCTGGGTGTGTGGCGGGGCCAACGTGCCCATGTGAGATGCATGTGGGACTTGGCCTTTCCCTCCCTTCCTTCTCGGGTGTGTTGTGGGGCTCTCCGGCTGTTCTGGGGAGGAAGCTGCTCTGGGTTTTGAGGAATCAGTGAGCTTGTTTCTCTGTGATTCACAGCTATTGATTTTCTGGAGAAAATACTGACGTTTAACCCAATGGATCGACTAACGGCCGAGATGGGTCTGCAGCATCCTTACATGAGCCCGTATTCGTGCCCGGAGGATGAGCCGGTGTCTCAGCACCCGTTCCGCATTGAGGATGAGATCGATGACATTTTGCTGATGGAAGCCAACCAGAGCCAGCTGTCTAACTGGGACAGGTACCGTATGAAGGCCCGGCCTCCAGCCTGCATGTTCCCTGGCAGGTTGTGGGTGACATTTGACTGGCGAGTCTCTGGCCTGCAGTTAATTCAGTTCAGGAATATGTGCTCTGCACCCACAAAGGACACCAGTTTTCCTCATTTATGCCGTGTTGCAGTTCTCACTGCACCTGCACCTTGCCAAAGTTGGTGCACATTTCCACAGATTGGTGCAGATTTTGTCACTGATTTCCACTTTGGGGTCTTCATGTGCAAGCTACCGGGTGCTCCTTGGCTGTTGGTTTTATTAACAGACTGTGTTGGCTTCAGTTGAGTTGCATGTGTTTAAATTACACTATGGTTCTCCCTTCATCTCCTGTACATTAACACTAGGTATAGAGTAATGCAATTTTTGCAGCATTCCGGGAGCAGGCCTGATCTGGAGCTCAGTATCTATCACTTTTCAGGGTACATAAGCCCCAGTGGCCCCAGTTCCAGGGTTCTTGGGGAAAAAATCCATGGATTGAATTTTAAATAGTTTGCTGAATGTCATGTGGTTAGAGTAGATCAAAGACTTGAAGTCTCTTATGTCCTAGATTATTATCACAATTACTAGGCCCTTCCCAGTGACCAGCGCAGGCTAGGATGGAAGTAGCTAGGAATTGTCTGTTCCCTTTTCTGCAGAGCTCCTGCAGGCCCAGCAGTGTGAATGGTTGAGGATGCCTGTAGCAGGGTTCCTCTCGGGGTAGCGGTCAAGTCTCCAGACCTTGTTGATCCACTGTATTTCACCAGCGTTCAAAAGTAATCTAAGGAAATCCCATTCACTTGCTATTATTAATCTCTCTGCTAGAGTGAACATGTTTCAGGGGGAACAATCAAGTAAATGAAATAAAGAGGAAACCTGGAAGCTTTTCTTGGCATGTCTTCAGTATGTCCCTGGCAGTTACAATGAGCAAAGCAGCAACCTTCCTGCTCGGGCTCACTGTGCCACCCTTCCACCTCTTTGCTTCCGTATTTCCCGTGTGACACAGCAAGCAGTCAGTCCTCCCACCCTCTGGAGAGATTTGGCCTGTAAATTTTGCCACACAAGCCAGGAGTTTTAGAAATGGGAAATGGTTTCCCCTGTGTGTTATGGTACATCTCAAGAGCATTTCATTACCAAAAAAACACAGCCCCAAGGCATGGGATAACACTTCTTTTAAAGGCAGCTCAGTTAGGAGCCAGAGAATACCTGGCCACTTTGGAAACTGTGTCAGAATATAAGTGTTGCAGGTAATTGCAATGGGTCGTTACAAGTGGTTTGAGGAGCTACTGCTCAGGCAGGTGATTGTTCAGGGATGGTCTCAGAGCGTCACAACAGAGTAAACCGCTGATGTCCAGGCTCCATGGCACTGAAAGGAATCTCTTCTTAATTCTGTTGCAGTGCATGAGGAGCGCTCGTGTTGTCGGTGATCATTTCTGAGCTGTGAACAACTCCTAATAATCAACTTACAGTTTGATTATCAAAATTATCTAATTGTGGTTTAATCTTAAAGGATTAAACTAATTAATTCCTGGAGCGAATGTGAGAACCAGTTAAATGAAGGGGCAGACAATTTGGCCCACTGACTTTTATTCCCATTACTGTCCCCTCCAGGCAGCTTGGGCAAGTTCTCTTGATATATTCCACAGACCCCTGCCTTAACAGACAAGGAAACATTCTGTAATATTGCACAAGGTTTTGGTGTGGTTTGATTGAATATTAGTTGCGAGGAACTTCGAGATCTGCAGGTAAATGCAAAATGGTTGAGGTCATAGTGTGAACACCTGTTTGAGCACTGATATTTCCACGGGCTGCATGTCTAACAGAAGTGTATCTCTCTCAGGTACCAGGTCAGCCTCTCCTCTGATTTGGAATGGAGACATGATAAATACCACGACATGGATGAGGTCCAGTGAGACCCACGGGCAGGATCTGAGTCCATTGCTGAAGAAGCACAAGTTGATCCACGGAAATATTCACAGAGCAGCTCAGAGAGGTTCCTGGAGCTATCACACTCATCAATGGACCGAGTTTTTGATGCTGATTGTGGGAAATCATGTGATTACAAAGTGGGATCACCTTCCTACTTGGACAAATTGCTGTGGAGAGACAATAAGCCCCATCATTACTCAGAGCCCAAGCTGATTTTAGATTTATCCCACTGGAAAAGAGCTACCATAGCACCCACAGCCGAGATCGCCTTGGAAGAAGAGCCTTCCAACCTCTTTCTGGAGATTGCTCAGTGGGTGAAGAGCACGCAGGTGGGTCTTGAGTGCTCCAGTCCCCTTCCTGAGATTCAAGAATGGAGCCTGCCATCTTCTCCTCACCACCTCCACAAGGAATCCAAGGAGGTAGGCACTGCAACAGACCCTGAGTTTGACTTGGATGTCTTCATCTCCAGGGCCCTGCAACTTTGCACAAAACCCGAGGATCTTCCAGACAACAAACTCAATGACATCAACGGAGCCTGCATCGCAGAGCACCCCAGTGACATGGTACAGACAGAGGTGTACCAGAAGGAGCGATGGTGATGCTTTCTCCCCCGTTCCTCCTTGACAGCGTGTGCTGAGCAGCTTCAGGCTGTCCTAGAGGATCCTTTTTTTTACACTATCCCAAATGCCTTTTCCTGAAAGGCATTGCACAAACCGCATGCCCCTTTTGATGCCTTAGAAATACGTTTAAGGGAATCAAGAGGTGTGAATGAAATATTGGGTTTCTTATACTGCCTTAACAATCTTGCCTTGCAATCTCGGGGACCGGTTTGGAACTTAAATGCACAGCAGAAAAGATGACAGTCCGTGATAAGTTTACAAACGGAAGTCAAATCAATATCTTTTTCTTTTTTTTTGTATAGCATCTTAAAATGATGAGAACACTGATCAGCATTTTCACCATGGTCAGATGCCCTCCTGCTTTGAGAGGTTCCAGACTGCACTGCCATAGGGCTGCAGGGGCCCGAGCGCGCTCTGCATGGAGAGCAGCAACGCGGGGGCATTCCCCTGTTCTGCCTCCAGCCCGCGGTGCTGGCAAGAATGGAACTAGAGCAGAATTTAGCCACAAGGCATAAAATAGCTCTTGGGAATACTAATGGGGAAGGAATTTGACCTGCTGTATATGAGCCTCTTTGGATTTTTTTCTGGTTGGAAGATAAAATTTTTGCTAAACACATTCTCCTTATTTGGTTCCTCACACTTAAGTTTTCCCTTCTGCTGCACCAGGCTAATTGTGAAGTTTCCTAGTACTTCTGGGGCCCAATACCACACATTTAGCAACCTCATAGTGTGAATCCTGTTGCAGGCAACTGCCCAGCAGACCAGCACATTCCAGGGTGCAGGCTGGAGCCGGGCAGGGAGCCAGGAACAGAGGGGTTCAGGGCATGACGCTGCTTCTGTCACTCACTAGATGTAGAGTCTGAGCAAGGTCACTTCCCTTCTTCATGGCATTTCCTCCCACTGCTTACTAAAAGAGGAAAAAAATACTACTACTTCCCACAGAGAAGGGAAAGAAATGGCTACAGTTTGTGCATTACTTTGATCAGGCAGAGCACTGTGTGTATTAGTTCCAGTTTCCACACTGCAAATCTTGTGCTCCTTGGCCCACATCTGAACAAAATTGCATTGGAAACTTCAGCTGTATTCAAATAGTCACCTAAATTGGCTGGTGCAGATGGTCCTACATACGAGGGACGAAGGTCTCCTTGGTTCCTGTGGCGTTGGGTTTTCACACGTGTGCATTTGGCCACGATCACACTTGGAAGAGCAGATACTCACATTTCTCCCGGGCACTTTGCTTCCAGCTCCCTTTGGTACGTGATGGTGGCACCTGGCTAACCAGCTGCTCTGTAAATAGGAATAAACACGACTGAGCTACTGTAACTTCTGTTTTCACCCATACTTCTGAGCACCTTAGTAACTAATCAGCTAACAAGAGTTTGTATATGGAAGAAATGTTCTATACTTATATTTAATCAAACTAGTCAATTTTTAAAAATTGAAAACATGTAAATAGCTAGTGTTACAAAAGGAAATCTTCACTCTGCTAGGGTGTCAGGGTGCTCTCCAGCAGTGGCATGAGCTTCATTTATAAAAGAGAAACTACTGTACTTAGGAACTCCAAGATCTCTGTTTAACTGCGGTTCACATGGGGATTATTTCTATTCTTTTAACAAGCAACCTACTAAATATTCCGAGATGTGAAGAGAACTCACATGAGGCCCTGGATCACTGACTGGCAGCAGCATTTGCTGTGCAAGCCCTGGTGATGCATCCAGGGCTGAGGGCTCCATGGATTGGGATGGATTGGGAGGAAATGGTGCCTGCAGCAAGGAGCAAAGGGGCACCAGGTGTCCCGACGAGGCCTTGACTCCTGTCTGGAAAGAGGACACAAGGGAGAGACAGAGGACTCATTTCGGGCACGCTGTGGATTATTGATATACCTCAACTAACGCTCAGCACTTTCACTCGTGGTGGAGGGATCCTGGTTCGGC